GTAAGATTTTTTTCCGTCTAGCCCCCTTTCACAACGCGCGATAAGGAACTTCGTTCCAATAAAAGACCAAACACGTCTAGACAGTTCTGAAGTCTACATCAATCGTTCACACCTCCGATATAGTGACGAACGCTACTCGAGAAGTGTGAGACTCCATAATTTGTATAATGAACCAAGCTTAATGGAAACCAAAGAATACCCCCTATTCATTGTGGGATGCATGTGATACGGGGCACAAGATATGTACGTAGAGTGCACTAGAATACCATAGCTAGAGAAACTTTGTCTAGGATGAGAAAGGCATAACGGCTTTTTTGTTGAGTGTTAAAATATTCTCTTAAATCTATATCTATATTATTATAAGTTGGTTTATCTACGCTTCAAAAACTCAAATAGTTTTGCACCGGCTGAGTTCAAAATTGACACGATTTACCACTCGCTTTCACCCGTGTTAATTTTATTCCTCATTCTAGTCTTATAAAAAAATAAAAAAACCGGTCAGATACGACTCGAAGACAGTATGACAGATATGGTAGTTCCCGTTGAACTAGAATCGAATCGAAACGAAATTTGACAAAAAGAAACGTCTTACAGCACAAGTAAAGAGAAAATTCTGAAAAATAAAAAAAAGTTGAAAATTAAGGTAAATTTTGGTACTTACAAGTTTTACCCCTAACTAGACATTTATCTTAGACTTCTAAAACACTTATTCTAGAAGGTTGTACTGCATCTATTCTGTTATATTTAGAAGCTTGTGTTAGGCAATTTTTTCGTTGCTTATCACTGAGTAAGTTTACCAAAGACCAAATCTCCCTAGGATTTAGGAGGGCTGGGGGGGGGGGATTGAAAGCTGCAGGCTTGTGACTATTGAGTTACAGATGTCCATGGGCGGTGGAAGTCACTTTGTGTACACATGTATAGTTACCATGATTTTATCCCACTATATGAATTAGAAACAAAACATTCTACTGTATATGTGGTTGTGTTATCTTCTTCTCTTCCAAACAAACTGTGCTGCGCCCGACAGGGTCCATAATTGTTGCCGCTTGAATTTTTGTCACCTATGTATTCACATTTTTGAAGCAATAAAGTATTAAGTATTGAGTATTAACATGAAGTGTGTCTTTTCGTTTACCCCTTTACCATAATAAAATTAAGTAAATAGATAAATTAAGTAATTGTACACTACAGTTTTAAGAACCTAATACACAATACAATTGCTTAGAAACGACAATAGTGTAAGAACACATACAAGTACGCCATACTATTCTTGAAACGATTTGAAGTTAATATAACAAAGGAATTTGACAAAAGCCGTTTGTGCGCACATTCCTTATCGATCTGTAATTACCAACATTTTCATTATTAAACGGAAATTTCTTACCCAAAAGTAGCCCACTATAACCGTGTTCTAATACAGAATGAAATACAGGTCAGAAGAAACAACGAAGGACTGAGAAGTATTCTGTAACTGTTATATTTTTAATACTTATGGTTGTACTCCGTGTGGTGACGGATTAAAAATACAAAATGTCATCACCCCTATTCATCCCATGGGTGTCGTAAGAGCCGACTAAGGGAGCAAACTACGCAGGACAACAGCACTGCAAAGTGAAGGAAAACTTGAAACAAACTATATTCCAACCCGTCTGACTTACGTAGTCACGTAGTCATGTAAAATAGGCCAAAACCTACTTTCTAAGGAGAAGTCTATGTTCAGCAGCGGACTGGTAAAGGACATAAGCCTCTCCTTACAAAGGTGGTTTTGGCCTACTATACCACGCTGGCCAGACGGGTTGGTATAGGGTTTGTGTCAAGTTTTCCTTCTCTCTGCAGTGCTGTTGCTCTGCGTAGTTTTCTCCCTTATTCGTCTCTTACGACACCCACGGGATGAATAGGGGTGGTGACACTCTGTATTCTTAATCCGTCACCACACGGAACTCTTTTTGTAATTCTTTATTATCTATTATTTTTAATGTATGATAATAATGTAATTGTAGATTGTTATAATGTTATTTAATGCAAGCACTAGATAAAGACACACTGTTACTAACATAAAATGGAATTATATTTCCGAAATAAATCATTTGAATTTGAAAGTAAAAAAAAGGACCCCTAAATGGTAGAAATGAAGAATATAGTTTTTACATTTCATCATAATATAGAGGCATTGAAGTCGGTGATAGTAACTTTTAAAAAAAGTTAATTATTATCTTCTAATTGTTAAATTGAGTTGAAATAAGTGTTGCCATTTCTTTTTTACAGGCGTTTTGAGGCTAACACGTAAAAATATGACAACACCGTACGGACACTGAAGAAAGAAGTATTGATTATTAGTTAAATATAAATAATGTCAAATCGATTGATAAACCAGCTTCTATATTCTACCTATTCATATGTAAATATGTACAGCAATACCGCGCGCTCTCTTCCATATTATTATTGTAAATTATGTACTACAAAATAAGGAGATATATTGTATGGTGATCTCAGAAAGCTATATTTGGATTCTATGTTTAGAATACTCAGTGTATTCTTTATTGTCAATCAGATTTCAAAAGAAAAAACAGTTTACTTAGTAGACATAGTTAATTTTAGATTGTGAATCACGAAAATAGTTGTGTAATCACGATTAGTAGGTGGAACATGGAATTTGTTTCTTGTTAGAGGAAAATAGAATACATAATAGATTTTTTATGGGGTTATAAGCATTATTTAATTTTTAAGCAATTTATTAGAACACGTATTACAAAAGAATAAACTTTGTACTTTTTTAAGCTATTGCATAGCTTCTATCGAGGGCCTTGAGCGCGGGGACCGAATCAAGAAATTCCGTAACGAAAAAAAACCTTACGCTAAAAACAAAACAAAAAACAGTACCAAAATCAAATGCTGAACGTCAAAGGAAATTTCGTCAACATAATGCAGAAAAATCTTATATGGATATGTAATTTGATTTAATAATAATATTTTTGTAATATATGCTTCAATATTTCTTATCGGTCACCACGCTCAAAAAGTGTAACTTGAATTAATATCAAAGAAATACTGCATAAATAAAATAAATAAATAATTATAATTGCATAAGTTGATACAAAATGCTATGCAATAGCTTTACCGCGGCAGTCCCAGAGTGCAACACGTCTTTTTTTTTTAATATTATGGTGTTCATGTCGATCATATACCGATGGTATAAACTTGTAGTTCCACATATACATGGTTCGGAGTGAATCAGTCGTATCGTGCCGCGACCATCAATAGCAACAACGATTACATGAAGTGGGCATGTAGTTGTGCAATATCTACTCTGAACAAATATGACTTATCTAATCTAACCTGGAACTTGAACACCACGATTTTTATTTATGTTTTGTAAAAATCACCAAAAACAATTATTTGTTTAAAACATTACCCTGATCGGTGGATCACTTGGCTCGCAGGTCGATGAAGAACGCAGCTAACTGCGCGTCATAGTGTGAAATGCAACACATTGAACATCGACGTTTCGAACGCACATTGCGGTCCTCGGACAAACTCCAGGACCACTCCTGTCTGAGAGCTGGCTGTATAATATAAAGTTTACATTGCGCACCGAGCGCATTTGGCGGTTCTGCGACTTGTCTGTAGACTTATGTTCTGCGTCTCGTCGCTAGTCTGTTTAAATATAAAAATTGTAATAACCATGCAATAGTGATAGAAGACTATGTTTTGACGAAAAACGTGGTGCCGCTTGCGCTACTGCTTCTCCGTAATATCACTATGGTAGGGGCTGTATTGCTTGCGGCACTCTCAACTTTTCGAGTGTCAACGAGAGAGTTAAGCGTATATATTTACATATATCTATACGTACCGTTATTTTTTTTAAACTATGTCACTATCGTACCTTTCGCATAGTATTATTGCAATTTATGAATGTATAGCAGGTAGATTCGTATCTGTGGAGCGCTACAGCGACTAGGTGCTATTGTTTTTTTTAACGTAAATAACGCTTCTGTCACTGTAGCGCTAACAGATCTTCAATTTGCCTCTTCACTATCGCTAGCCTCAGATTAGGAAGGACCACCCGCCGAATTTAAGCATATTAGTAAGCGGAGGAAAAGAAACTAACTAGGATTTCCTCAGTAGCGGCGAGCGAAGAGGAATGAAGCCCAGCACTGAATCTTGTCGTAATGCAGGCGGCGGGAGATGTGGTGTTCGGGAGGTTCCGTTTTCTTGCCGTGGTCACTTCTGTGCAAGTTCTTCTTGAACGGGGCCGCTTACCCACAGAGGGTGCCAGGCCTGTAGCGATGAAGGACTGAGGTGAGAGGAACTCTCCTTAGAGTCGGGTTGCTTGAGAGTGCAGCCCTAAGCGGGTGGTAAACTCCATCTAAGGCTAAATATTACTGCGAGACCGATAGTAAACAAGTACCGTGAGGGAAAGTTGAAAAGAACTTTGAAGAGAGAGTTCAAGAGTACGTGAAACCGTTCAGGGGTAAACCTGCGAAGCTCGAATGAACGAACGAAGGGATTCATCGTCATCCGCACTGGCTGTAAAATGCGCCTTGATGTTAACAGCTAATGTTGCCAAACACAAAGCGTGCTTATCGACGTCAGCGGAAGGCGTGCACTTCTCTTTTAGTAAATACATCGCGACCCGTTTGATATCGATCTCAGCGCTTATACGTGAGTACCAATGTCCTTTGGCGGGGATGGATCCGTGTTGGCAGCCGATCGATCGTTAGACGGTATGGTCAAGAAATGCGCACGCGTTTAAACGCGTTTGGCTAGACAACAGCAACGTCGTATACAGCGTATCGCCTGAGCGTAGGTAGACGTGGTAATTACAGACGTTGCTGTCGATCAGTCTCAGACTGTGCGCGTCTCTGTCTGCGATGATTTAGTTTCGGGTACTCGCAGGACCCGTCTTGAAACACGGACCAAGGAGTCTAGCATGTATGCGAGTCATTGAGAATAAAAAACTGACAGGCGTAACGAAAGTAAAGGTGCATATGAAATCGTGC